AGCACTCAATTTCACTGAATTATACATTAAACCACTAAAGGTAAATCTAAGAATTTCGGGGTTGCTAAAATGTAGAACTTCATCTGAAAATATTTTCTGCACTTAAACCCTGAGGCATGGTTTGGATTGGTTTCTTTGGCTTTACTGTCTTCTAAACTCAGGTCCTTGGCAACACACTAGGATGCATATATTAGCAGAGCAAAGCATGTCTGTTGTCTGCTCTGGACCAAAGACTTACTCCTAAAAGAAGTGTAGCAGTGGCCTGGCCCACAGTGGTACAATGTGTTGCTCTGACCACTGTAATAAATTCTTGATGATCAAGCTTGGAAAGAGAGCTAAGCCCAAAACAATGCTGCATCTGGGGCATAAAATGAAGTATCCCGAAAGTGACCACAAGAAGAGAAAGAAGCAGAGTTTGAAAATCACAAGCTACCCACAGCCAGCATACTCCTAAATGGACAAAAACTGGAACCATTTCCCCTGAAAACTGGAACAAGACAAGGATGCCCACTCTTACCCCTCCTGTTCAATATAGTATTGGAAGTCCTGGCTAGAGCAATCAGAGAAGAGAAGGCAATCAGGGGTTTTCAAATAGGAAAAGAAGAAGTCAAGGTATGTCTCTTTGTAGATGAAATGATCATGTACCTTGAAAACCCAAGAGAATCTGTCAAAAACCTCCTTACACTGATAAAGCCCTTTGGCAAAGTCTCAGGATATAAAATAAATGTGCAAAAGACAATCGCATTTTTTTGCACCAATAATAAACAAACAGAAACCCAAATAAAAACCACAATTCCATTCACAATAGCCACACAAAAAATGAAATACCTTGGCATCTTCCTAACCAGAAATGTGAAAGACCTTTACAATGAAAACTACAAAACACTACTCAAAGAAATCAAAGATGACACAAACAAGTGGAAAAATATCCCACGCTCATGGATTGGAAGAATCAACATTGTGAAGATGTCCATCTTACCTAAGGCAATCTACAGATTTAATGCAATACCCATCAAATTACCAGCAACATTCTTCTCAGACCTAGAAAAAACAACACAGGAATTCATATGGAAATACAAACGTCCAAGAATAGCCAGAACAATCCTCAGCAAAAAAAACAAAGCAGGTGGTATCACATTACCAGACTTCAAACTTTACTATAAAGCTACAATCATCAAAACAGCTTGGTATTGGAACAAGAATAGGCATATGCATAAATGGAACAGGATAGAGATTCCAGTTGCAAAACCTCAATTTCTCAACCAACTCATCTTCGACAAAGCCTCCACCACCCACCACTGGTGAGAGGAGAACCTATTCAGTAAATGGTCCTGGAAAAACTGGCTGACAACATGCAGAAGACTCAAACAAGATCCCTATCTATCCCCGTACACAAAAATTAACTCTAAATGGATCAAGGACCTAAATGTAAAACCTCAAATCATAAGAACCTCAGAAAATGAAGGGCGTACCCTCATGGAAATTGGAACTGGCATCCAGTTCCTGAACAAAACCCAAAACCCACAGGACATAAGAGATAAGATAGACAAATGGGACCTCATTAAACTGACAAGCTTCTGCAAAGACAAAGAAACCATCAAGAGAGCAGGGAGACAGCCTACAGACTGGGAAAAAGTATCTGCCAACTCCAGGTCTGACAAAGGCTTAACATCTTGGATCTACAAGGAACTCAAATGTGCTGAAAAGAAAAAAACAAACAACCCCATTATAAAATGGGCAAAAGATATGAACAGACACTTCTCAAAGGAAGACATCCGAGCAGCCAACAGACACATGAAAAAATGTTCAACCTCACTAATCATCAGGGAGATGCAAATCAAAACCACACTGAGATACCACCTAACTCCAGTCAGAATGGCAATTATCAATAACTCAAAAAATAACAGTTGCTGGAAAGGATGTGGCAAAAAGGGAACACTTCTACACTGTTGGTGGGAGTGCAAACTAGTACAACCTCTGTGGAAAACAATATGGCAATTCCTAAAGGCTCTAAATATTGACCTCCCATATGACCCCGCAATCCCCCTACTGGGAATATACTCTGAAGAACTCAAATCACTCTATAAAAAAGATATCTGCACACGTATGTTTATCGCAGCACTGTTCACAATAGCAAGAACCTGGAAGCAACCATGCTGTCCATCAAAAGAGGACTGGATTAAAAAAATGTGTTACATATACATGATGGAATACTATGCAGTCATAAAAAAGAACAAAATCATTAATTCTGTAGCAACCTGGATGGAACTAGAGTCTATAATACTGAGTGACCTCTCACAGAAACAAAGATCTGAGTATCACATGTTCTCACTCATATAATGGACCTTGAACATCCAATGTAATACTATAAGAAAATGACTGACAGTGGTGGGAAACTATGTGGGGGGGAAGGAGATGGGATTAACGGTAATAAATATCTGTCTGGGGATGGAGAGATACCTCTTTCAACAAGGGTGCCTGAATGAAGCATATTTGTATATCTAACCCTTAACTGTACCCTACAATATCATAATAAAAAATATTGATTAAAAAAAAGAAAATCACAAGCTATAGGGATGGTAGGAACTAATTTTTAAAATATTCCAATTCCAGACAAGATGTTTGCCAACTATGGGCTAGTTAGGTTGATAAGGGAACCAGAATCACACTCTACCATTTAAAAAGCCACATATCTATATAATTCTATTTTTATTCCGAGTGAGCATGCTACTTAATCTTCATCAACGACTGTAAACTAATTTTAATACAATAGAAAAGCAATCCAACTTTCCTGCCTTTTCCCCTCTCACACCTATACAAGCACACGCTTGAGTGATGGTGTTCTTCTTTGAATCAGACTTCTTCAAGTCAATTAATTCTCTCCAGTTTTTGAATGACCTTCCAAGAGAATTAGCTAATGGCATAGGCTGTGACAGGGTAAGCCCTAAATTCTCATAGGCAGAGCATATCCCCGTTCCTGGAAATGCCTCTGACAGCTGTCCATACAAGTGCCCAGGACAGTGGTATGTTCTCTGGGCTGGCTGGACAGTAAAAGCTGTCACTGCCATGACAACAGCCAGCCCCTACACTGCTGTCTAATCTCTACCACATGATATTGCTGGTTGGTCTATAATTGCTTTAAGTGGGCAGTTTCTTCCTGAGAAAATGACCACAAAAGTATTAGGATTTAATGTCATAATCATAAATGAAGCCAAGAAAGGTGATCAAGAATGGGAAGAACGTAGATCCAGGATGTTAAGCCTTTGTCAGACCTAGAGTTGGCAAAGACTAGGAACTGAAATGTACTGAAAAGAAGAAAACAAACAACCCCATTATAAAATGGGCAAAAG